CTGAACCCCCAGCACCTGGCGAGCAGCCGGCGCCGGGGGTGGGAGGTGTGCGAACCGAGGGCTTGCCGGGGCCGAGTCGCTGCTTGAAGCCGATTTTAACCTTTTCTGCAGAGCTCAGCTGCTGGGATGGATGCTGGGAAGCAGCCGCCCCCTGCCCAAGGCACTCCCCTGCCATCGGTGCACCGGGTGCCCCCCGGGCGAGGGGCTGTGGGGTGCAGGTGGGTTGGGGGGACCCTCCAGGGATCTTCGCTCCTTGCTCTGATGAAAGCCACCTCTTTCCCCAGCACCCTGGACATCTTCCCTACGCTGGTGGCCCTGGCTGGGGCGGCGCTTCCTCCAAACAGGCGCTTCGACGGCTTGGACGTGTCCCCGGTTCTCTTTGGGTGGTCAGATGTGGGGCACAAGGTAAGACAGAGCCACCCCCCCCGGAGACATCCCCCTCCTGACAGCAGGTCCCACCGCCTCCGAGCTAAAACAGGTAAGCGGGGGGCGGAAAGGCTCAGAGCTGGCGACGTGCGGACCCATGGGAGCATCATCCCCCTGGTCTGGAGGAGGAGGACAGCCGGAGACGGCCGGGTGCTGTACCAAGGCTGGGCTTGCGCTACCGGGGTAAAAAGGGCTTTTGGATTAGCGAAGAGTTGTCTTAGCTAAGAGAAATGCTTTGTTCATAAATCTGGGATTATAGGTGAAAATGCCTATGCATGCAGCCTGGCGTGCCTCCCCGCGCGCCGGCAGGGCTGTGCCCGCTGTCCCGGGGGACACGGTTCCAGGGGATGCTTGAGCTTGCAGGCCCAGACGGCAGCCCCGCGGTGCCCAGCACGGTGTGTCTCCTTTCCAATCGCAAAAGGTACGCCAGCGTGGGAAACAAAAGATCCCAGGGGCTCGGATCTAGTTGTATCTGCTTTATTTATCTTGCCAGATCGAGACATAACAAAGACCTCCTTCTCCCAGCTGGGGAATGTGCCTGTTACTGATGTTCAAGCGGGGCAGCCCGTCCATACCCTGCAGCTCTGCCCATACAAAAGGAGCTGCTGACAGCTCCTTTAAGCCTAAAAAACGCAGTTAGCAGAACAAGCAGTATGGCGATGCATTTTTCTCAGAGTTGCACAAGATTTTTGCAGAACCAAAAGAAAGAAAAAAAAAAAAGCGGCTTTAATAACAGTCCCACAGATAAAGCCTGATTTTGCTTTTAAAGTCCACCCTCTTGCGAGCACCACGAGCCAGCTCCCAGCGGGGATCTTGGATTTGCTTTCTGCGTCCATCAGGGTTTTGGTATTTGCTTCGTATTTATGGAACCCTCTGCTGAACTGTGAGATAAAGCGGGGAAGCGGATGGGATGCGGCCAGCGCGCTCCGCTGTGCTCCTTGGGATTAACCCTCTTCTTCTGAGCACGTGGCGCCGGGAGGGGAGGACTGGCAGTTTGCCGGGAATGATGGTTTGCTGGGAACGATGGTTTGCTGGGAGCGATGGTTTGCTGGGTGTCAGGGCACGGCGGAGGGGCACGAGCCTGCGCCAGCCATTCCTGTGCGTTTCAGGCTGAGGAATAAAGTCCTGAGCTGCGACGCACCGCCGGCTCCCCAGGCTTCCCCAGCGTCACCCTGGCCCAGTGCTTTTCTGGAATCGTGCTGCAATCAGGGGTGAATTAACCCCTGCGGGGCTGGGAGCCGGGGGGGCACAGCCGGGTTGTTCCTGCCCATCCCGGCAGCGCGAGCGGGGTTGGCATCCCTGGGGGATGCAATCCAGCTGCCCGCGCCGCCGCGGGGGACACACACAGCGCCCGCCTGCTCCAGCCCCGCGGGGTGATCGGGAGCAAGCGCGTGTCCCCGCTCCCTCCTCTCTTGGCTCTCTGCCTTTCATCTCCCGCTTGCGAGCGGCTGATAGCAACCCCCCCTTTGACGTCGCAGGGTTTTCCTTGACACAAATCCTCCCGAAAGCGGTTCCTTTCCTCGCCCCGCCGCCCGGTTTCCGCACGGCGCCGACAGCTGCTTTCCTAACTGGGGTCCCTCGGGTGGCTGAGGCTCCCCGACGTGAGCTGCCCGGGGTAACCTTGCTCAGCGTCCCAGCCCGCGTGCTCGGCACCGGCACAACCTGTGACGGGGCTGGGGTGACGCCAAGGTCCTGTTTTGAGCGAAGGCTATTTACAGTAAAAATAAACACATCCTACAAAATGTATCAAGGGTACAAGTGTCAGACAAATAAGCTCTTTCCATTAGCTTAACGGCAGAGGGGTGTGCGCCTGCTCCCCGCGCGCTTGCTCGCTTGTGCAAACAGCCCGGAGCACTGAGTTCAGACAACTGGTTTTCTGGGGAGAAAAACCTTTTTTTCCCCCCTTTTTTTTTTTTTTAATTAAAATAACAAAGTCAAAGATCAATAGAAGGATTGCAGACCTGGGAATGTTTCTTGAAAGGGCTCAATTGAAACAAGATCCTTAATCATGCAGTAAATTATAATAGATTTTCTTAGCGTGGGGTTTTATGAGGCAGGTTTAGGAACGTGCTTGTTGGTACCAAGGGAGGTTTGAGTGCCTTTACACTGACATGGCAGCATCCCAGCTGTGCTGCTAAAGGTAACGCCGACTGGCGACAGGGCGTAGGCAAAGCTTTAGGGCTGGAAACATGACGAATTGGTTCAGTTCCTGGTACCTTGGCTTCGTGGGCCCTTGAATATTTGCTGATTTCTACTTTGGAGCTGTTTTATTCTGACCGAGGAGCGTCAGCATAAGGGGACTCTGTAGCAGGGGTTTCCTCCTTGCAGCAGGGTTACACTGCACCACCTCTTCCACTTTACACCCTTAATTTTTTTCCCTAAAACATGATTTTTAAACCCAATTCCGGAAGGCGAATTTTTTTTTTTTTAATTTGCCTTGCAATGGAGGGCAATAAAGGAAACCGAGAGCATTTGGAAATCACCCCCCACCCTGAATCCTGGCATTTCTTGGATAAGTTGCCAACTGGCCCCCCGAGACAGCGGCCGCATCCGGACCAGGCAGCACGGGATCGACATCTCGGGGCGACCGAGCGGGGTGCCGGGTGGTGCTGCGTGCCGGGGCAGGGTTCTGCGCCGGGCACCTGCTAAGGCATTACCGCGCTGATCAGCTGCGAACGCTGTTACTAAACTTGGCCCCGCAGCTGCCTACAACTTCGGCAGATGTTTCTAATTTTTAGCACAGTGGAAATTTCTTGAATCACTTTTAAACTCAATTCCCAGGGAGGAAACCTCGAGTGACTCATCCCTCAATGAAGCCATTGGCTCCACGGCAGATACTATCTGACAGACGAGCCCGCTGAACTGTCCAGCTCACTTGTCTTCTCGCTCCCGTGTGCCAAAGCAGTCGTCCTGTGCGGATCAAGTGTCCTAAATACTGAAAGGGAGAGATTCAACCCGCCCTTCCCTCCTTCCCTTCCTTCTCACCCCCATTCCCTGTGCCGGGACGGCTGTTGTTAGGGAAGGGAGCGTCCGCACAGCGGGGTGAGTCAGCGGCGGAGACAGACCTCACCTACCCGTGCAGCCTCTGCTTCGCATGAGCTCACCCTCAGCTTGCGGCTTGCTGTTGGCCCCAGGCAATGATTCGGCTCCCTTAGATGTCCCTGCCACTAGCTGAGCTGTGAGCACCGAGGGAGATGGGTGTCTCGTTGGCATGGGACGGTGGTGGGTGACATAGAGCACCTGAGACCGTCCCGGCTCTGAAATATTCTGCCCTGCTCTGCTGAAAGCCCCGGCACCTTTGTGATCCCTTTCCTGCAGCAGAGTTGGTCTGGGGAGGTAAATTCAGGGGTCCCGCATGCAGGGCCAGGAAGGCACAAGAGAGATGCTGGTGTTTCCTGGTGCCCTTTTACTGTCACCCCACCCTTCAGCAACCAAAACTCGGTTGGTTGCTCAGAGTCCAGGGGCTAAATGGTGCCTCTAAATGTGTGCACGGGTGGGACGTGGTCTCGTCTTGGGAGGGAGCGGGTCTCGCGGAGGAGGTTTTCTCTGCAACAGGCTGATGGGCACTTTTCTGTTCTTCCTTCAGGTCCTGCTCCACCCCAACAGTGGGGCAGCTGGGAAGGACGGCGAGATAGAGACCCTACGGCTGGCTCAGTACAAGGCGTTTTACACCACAGGTACTGTGTCCCTTTTAGAGATCGTAAAGTCTGGGAGAAAGCTTCTGGAATTCTTGGTTCCCTGCAGATACAGGTAAAAACCAACTCAGGTTAATTCAAGCAAGAGCAAACCTAGCAAGGATAAGCACGTGCCCCCCTGTGTCTGTGTGATGGGCTTTGCAGCCCGGGGTTGTTGGCCTCAGAAGCGCTCTCGGACTAGCGGAAGGACCCGGGCTTCCAAAGCTGGGACATGGTGGGACTGGGCCATCACAGATGGGTGAGGAAAAGAGAGGTGATCCCTGGGCAGCCTGGCACTTCGGTGTTTTTCTCTCGGTTCCTCCCTAGGAGGGGCGATGGCTTGCGATGGGAGCATTGGGCCAGCTGAGCATCACCAGCCACCCCTCATTTTCAATCTGGATCGTGATATCCAGGAGCAGGAGCCTTTGGACTTGGCATCCAGAGAGTATCAGGCAGTGCTACCTGCAATCAGCAGGGCTTACGCCCAAGCTCTGGAGGACATCGCAACGGACAACGTCTCGGTTGCAGATTACTCCAAAGACCCGGCAGCAACCCCCTGCTGCAACGCACGGCACGTGGCCTGCCGATGCCAAGCGCCCAGGTCTCACGCAGCCATGCTGGACCGTCGCACGGAAAGAAGAGCAACGCGGCTTTGTCTTTAAGCAAATAATTGCTCAGGCTGCTCCTTTCCCAAGTCTGGTTTCTGTGAACGGGGCTGTTGTGCGTACTGGCTCCAGGCTGGAGGTTGGCCACGGAGGAGAGGGATGGAGGCTGCTGTCCCCCTTGTTGTGAAGCAGGGAGGTGAGTTAGTTGTGGGTCTGCGTAAGCACACAGAGGGTCCCCTTTACTGCAGAGCAGGACCGTCACCCCGGCAGAGCAGGGCACTGCAGTACCTGGTGGCTCTAGGCACATGGAAGGAGACAGGCTTTTTGTAGGGCTCTTTAGCTGGGAAGGAGCCAGGTCTTGGATTAAAACTACCTTCTGTGAGAGCTGGCTTTGGGAGAGAATTCCTCTGGGAAATTCGCTTGGCTTTCCTCTAAAATGGGCCTTACAGGAGCGGCTGGTGGGAGCACAAGGCAGGGGAGGACGGGGCCCACAGCCTCTGAGCAAATGTCCCTTTTGGTGCTGAGACCCTGGAAGTCTGTAGCCACAGAGAGAAAATTCCTGGCCGGCACAAGGCGAGTGCCCTGGGAAACGGAGCACCTGCCCCTCCAGCTGCCAAGTGAGGTTTATTAACGGGGTTACGTTAAAGACCCAGTTGTCTGTAAAAGAAAGAGGGTCCTGGGCTCTCCCTGACTGCTGCCCTCCTCGTGGACGGGATGCTCAGCTTGTCCCGTGGCTGCTTTGCGCTGCCACAGCGGAGGTCAGGGATTGCGCTGAGACAAGGACCCGAGCCCCAGGGTTTGGAAAAGGCTTTTTTTGGGAAGGTGTGGGGGAGAGGTGTGCAGTGCAGGACTCTGTCAGCTCTGCATGGAAAGACCAACGGTGTAACTGCGGGGTTTTTTTCGGGAGGTCAGGGAGAGGTCCCTGCCCCGAGGTCTCCCAGCAGATCAGAGCTCCAGGCAGAGAAGCTGCTCCTGCCGATCCCAGTGCAACGCTGGGGGGGCGGGTGGTGCGAAACAGCTCTGATGGGGCATTTCTGGGCAGAGGCAAAGGCCTGGGGAGCTGCAAAGGCGAAATCGAAGGTGCAACTGAAACTTAGAAACCACCGGGATTTCTCAGCAGCTGAGTGAGGGTTTTCTGAAACAATTTTGGACTCCGATTTACGCACCCAGATCTTTCTTTGGACAAGCCGTAAATGGGTTTGTGTGAACTCGGCCAGGTGGGTCGGGTGGAAGCAGCTGTCCTTGCACCAGCCCCCCCAAACCCACGCTCCCACTCATAAAACTTAATCAAGACTGACACCTTTAGGGCCCCACAAAGAACAGCAGGAGCACGGGCAGCGAGCTGCCAGGGACAGACCGTGACTTTATTCTGTCTTTAAACATAGCAAATGGCATCTTCTGTAATATCACTGCAAAAATACTTTGCCTGGGTAAAATAGTATGTATATACTGTACAAAGACATAAGTTTAATATATCTTCCTATAAGTACATTTATACACATAAACCAGCATAAATTAGAAAAGGGACAAACGGGTATATAAAATTCTGGTTACATACAAATCTGATTAAATTAGCATTTACATTGTGGTTCTAACATGTAGTTTGTTAAATATAGCGCTGTGCATACAGTACATTGACACCCCACCCAGACACAAATTAAAACAAGGGGCTAGCGGGGCCAGGTAGTCACTTAAACATACCGTAGGAAAAAGCAGTGGCCCACCTTGGATTTTTTTTTTTTTCCCCTCGTCTTGCGGAGTCACAAATGTGTTCTTCGAAATTCCTGGCTTTTCCAAAGCACTTCCCAGCAGCTGTCCCAAGTGCGGATGTTTGCTTCTCATCATGACCTCTTCGCTTTGCCCGGCTGACCTCCACGGCACAAGATTATCTACCAAAATCAAAACAGAACGGCCTTACTTTTCCCAGCAACAGGGTGTGTTTCAAGTTGGTTTTACGCACATGGGAGGAGAAGGGGGAGGGATGTCCTGCAGTGTTTTACTTTCCATTCAAAGGCAGATTTGTGAGCGGTTTATTTATTTACTCTCCCCCTCCCCAGATTTACAGTCCTGGGAACAGGAACCATCTGGCTGGGTGATAAGTGTGTCTTGCCTCTAGCTGGCATTGGGCTGAGCACAGCCATGCTTGCAGGGGTTCGATTACTGGGGGTGAGGTCTGTTTGCCTGGCTAAGTCCTCCTAAAAAGTTCAGCTCCTGGCCTGGCGGGAGGGGAAAGGTGCGTGCCGTGCATCACCATGTCTCTCCGGGGTCTACAGATGGAGCCCGGAGTTAAACACCTACATGTTAGACTGGATTAGGTGAGGGGAAGCCTAGCCTAAGTATCAGCAAAACCTTTGAGGGAAAGAGTAAAGCAGGCGCATGGAAGAACAGGCAGCAGCGAGGATCCTGAACCACTTCACATCAGCTACTCATGCCACGGGACGAGGCTGGAGACCCCGGGGTAAGATGTGCACCTACTTCTGGACGAGGCTTGGGCAGAGCTGCGGGGCTGCTGCAGCACCCGAGGCGGGGGGCCC